CACACACACCACCACCAACACAGTAGACACCCACACACACACCACCACTAACACAGTACACCCACACACACCACCACTAACACAGTAGACACCCACACACACCACCACCACTAACACAGTAGACACCCACACACACCACCACTAACACAGTAGACACACACCCCACCACCACCACTAACACAGTAGACACCCACACACCCACCACCCCTAACACAGTAGACACCCACACACACCACCACTAACACAGTAGACACCCACACACAACACCACCACTAACACAGTAGACACCCACACACCACCACCACTAACACAGTAGACACCCACACACCACCACCACTAACACAGTACACACCCACACACACCACCACTAACACAGTAGACACCCACACACCCACCACTAACACAGTAGACACCCACACACACCACCACCCCCACAGTAGACACCCACACCACCAGCCACAGTAGACACACCACACACACCACCACCACTAGACACCAGTACCCCACACACACCCCACCACCACCACTAACACAGTAGACACCCACACACACCACCACTAACACAGTAGACAGCCCACACACCACCACCACTAACACAGTAGACACCCACACACCCACCACCACTAACACAGTAGACACCCACACACACCACCACCACTAACACAGTAGACACCCACACACCACCACCACCACTAACACAGTAGACACCCACACACACACCACCACTAACACAGTAGACACACCACACCCCCACCACTAACACAGTAGACACCCACACACCCACACACACCACTAACACAGTAGACACCCACACACACACCACCACTAACACAGTAGACACCCACACACCACCACCACTAACACAGTAGACACCCACACACCCCACCGCCACTAACACAGTAGACACCCACACACACACACCACCACTAACACAGTAGACACCCACACACACACACCACCACTAACACAGTAGACACCCACACACACCACCACCACTAACACAGTAGACACCCACACACACCACCACCAGCTAACACAGTAGACACCCACACACACACCACCACTAACACAGTAGACACCCACACCCACCACCACTAACACAGTAGACACCCACACACCACCACCACTAACACACACCACCCACACACCACACCACCTACACCCACACACACACACACCACCACCACTAACACACCACCACACCCACACACACCACCACTAACACAGTAGACACCCACACACCACCACTAACACAGTAGACACCCACACACACCACCACTAACACAGTAGACACCCACACACCCCACCACACTACACAGTAGACACCACACACCACCACCACTAACACAGTAGACACCCACACACCACCACCACTAACACAGTAGACACCCACACACACCACCACACTAACACAGTAGACACCCACACACCACCACCACTAACACAGTAGACACCCACACACACACACCACCAACACAGTAGACACCCACACACACCACCCCTAACACAGTAGACACCCACACACACCACCACCACTAACACAGTAGACACCCACACACACCACCACTAACACAGTAGACACCCACACACACCACCACTAACACAGTAGACACCCACACACACCACCACCACTAACACAGTAGACACCCACACACACCACCACTAACACAGTAGACACCCACACCCCCCACCACTAACACAGTAGACACCCACACACCACCACTAACACAGTAACCCACAGCCCACCACTAACTACACCCACACACACACCACCACTAACACAGTAGACACCCACACCCACCACTAACACACCACCAGCACACCACCACCACTAGACAGTAGACACACACCACCACCCCTAACACAGTAGACACCACACACACCACCACCACCCCTACACAGTAGACACCCACACACACCACCACTAACACAGTAGACACCCACACACCACCACCACTAACACAGTAGACTACAGCCACACACACACCACCACCAGCCCCAACACACCACCACTACACCCACACACACCACCACCACTAACACAGTAGACACCCACACACACCACCACTAACACAGTAGACACCCACACACCACCACCACTAACACAGTAGACACCCACCACCCACACCACTAACACAGTAGACACCCACCACACACCACCACTAACACAGTAGACACCCACACACACCACCACTAACACAGTAGACACCCACACACCCACCACCACTAACACAGTAGACACCCACACACCACCACCACTAACACAGTAGACACCCACACACCCACCACCACTAACACAGTAGACACCCACACACCACCACTAACACCACCACACACACAGTAGACAGTACACCCACACACACCACCACTAACACAGTAGACACCACACACACACCACCACTAACACAGTAGACACCCACACACCACCACCACTAACACAGTAGACACCCACACACACCACCACCACTAACACAGTAGACACCCACACACACCACCACCACCCCCACAGTAGACACCCACACCACCACAGCCCCACCACCACCACTACACAGTAGACACCCACACACACACCACCACTAACACAGTAGACACCCACACACCCCCACCACTAACACAGTAGACACCCACACACCCACCACCACTAACACACCCAGACACCCACCACACACCACCACTCACTATCTACACCCACACACACACCACCACCCCCACCAACTACACCCACACACACACCACTAGCACCCACCACCTACACACACCACACACTAACACAGTAGACACCCACCACACACCACCACTACACACAGACACCAGCACACCCCACCACCACTACACAGTAGACACCCACACACCACCACCACTAACACAGTAGACACCACACACCCCCCACCACTAACACAGTAGACACCCACACACCACCACCACTAACACAGTAGACACCCACACACACACCACCACTAACACAGTAGACACCCACACACCCCACCACTAACACAGTAGACACCCACACACACCACCACTGGTTGTTAAACAGTTTAGGACACATTAACCCACCACGAACACCACCACTAACACAGTAGGCGGGTACACCCACACACACACCACCAACACAGTAGACACCCACACCCCCACCACACCACACAGCAGACACCACCACCACCACTAACACAGTAGACACCACACCACCATAACACAGTAGACACCCACCACCCCCCACCACTAACACAGTACACACACACACCACCACCACTAACACAGTAGACACCCACACACCACCACCACTAACACAGTAGACACCCACACCACCACCACCACTAACACAGTAGACACCCACACCACCACCACCACTAACACAGTAGACCCCACACACACCACTAACACAGTAGACACCACACAGCACCACCACTAACACAGTAGACACCCACACACCTCCACCACTAACACAGTAGACACACACACACCACCACCACTAACACAGTAGACACCCACACACACCACCAGCCCCCACAGTAGACACCCACACCACCAGCCCCCTAACACAGTAGACACCCACACACCCACCACCCCCCACACAGTAGACACCCACACACACCACTAACCAGCCACCACCACAGTACACACACACACACACCACCACCACTAACACAGTAGACACCCACACACACCACACCACCAGCACCCTACACACCACCACCCACACACACCCACCACCACCCCCCACACAGTAGACACCCACACACACCACCACTAACACAGTAGACACCCACACACACCACCACTAACACAGTAGACACCCACACACACCACCACCACTAACACAGTAGACACCCACACACCACCACCACCCCCACAGTAGACACCCACACACACACCACCACTAACACAGTAGACACCCACACAACCCCACCACTAACACAGTAGACACCCACCACCCACCACCACTAACCCAGTACACACCACACAGCCTCCACCACTAACACAGTAGACACCCACACACACCACCACCACCACAGTAGACACCCACACACACCACCACCCCCACAGTAGACACCCACACACACCACCACCACTAACCAGTAGACACCCACACACACACCACCACTAACACAGTAGACACCCACACACCACCACCACCAGCCTCCACAGTAGACACCCACACACACCACCACTAACACAGTAGACCATCACACCCACCACCACACACACAGACACCACACACACCACCACTAACACAGTAGACACCACCAGCCCCACCACTAACACAGTAGACACCACACACACACCACCACTAACACAGTACACCCACACACACCACCACCACTAACACAGTAGACACCCACACACACACCACCACTAACACAGTAGACACCCACACCACCACCACCCCTAACACAGTAGACACCCACACACACCACCACTAACACAGTAGACACCCACACACACACCACCACTAACACAGTAGACACCCACACACACCACCAGCCCCCACAGTAGACACCCACACACACACACCACCAACACCATAGACACCCCACACACACACACCCACCACACCACCACCAGTACACCCACACACACCACCACCACTAACACCATAGACACCCACACCACACCACTACCACCAGTAGACCCCACACACACCACCACTAACCCACACACACCACCAGCCCCCACCATCTACACCCACACACACCACCAGCCCCCACCATCTACACCCACACACACACACCACCAACCAGTAGACACCCACACACACCACCAGCACTAACACAGTAGACACCCACACACCACCAGCACCCAACACAGTAGACACCCACACCACCACCAGCCCCACAGTAGACACCCACACACACCACCAGCCCCCACCATCTACACCCCACACACACCACCACCAGCCCCACCATCTACACCCACACACACCACCAACTACAACCTGCTTGGTCTGCTCCACAACACAAGCAATACACAAGATATAATTATGAATACAAAATAGAACTTACTTGATTGGCTTTATTGAACTGTTTTTTAAGTCCGGCGAATGCCATGGTGGAGATGGTGGTGGTTGAGGGGGGCCTGGTGGTAGAAGTGGTGGTGGTGGTGGAGGCGGTGGTGGTAGTGGTGGTGGTGGTTGTGGTGGTGGTGGTAGTGAGGGGAGTTGTGGGCGAGAACAACAACCACACACACTAGGTGTATGGTGCTGGTGTAGTGTGTGTGTGTGTGTGTGTGTGTAGGGCTGACGGTGTGGTGTAGCCTGGCCCGCTGGCACCACTCTCACTCTCAAGGTGTTGTGGCCGGGTCAATACTGCGTCACGCTGCCCTCGGGTCACCACAGGTCACCGGCTTGATCACCACCTGCGGAAAACAACACAACCAACATTACCTCTCAGTAACACCAACACACTAACCTAACCTTTACTCCAAGCGGTCAATAATATTACTCCCCAGAGTGCTCCCGCTCCCTTGTATTGACCGCCGGGAAGGTGACCTTGCCCGCACCCACTCACAGCTCCCGGGTGACATTCCCTGGCACTCCTGCTTGATACCTGGTTGATGGGGTTCTGGGAGTTCTTCTACTCCCCAAGCCCGGCCCGAGGCCAGACTCGACTTGTGAGAGTTTGGACCAGTAGGCTGTTGCTTGGAGCGGCCCGCAGGCCCACATACCCACCACAGCCCGGTTGGTCCGGAACTTCTCTTAGAAAACAGTCCAGTTTCCTCTTGAAGATGTCCACGGTTGTTCCGGCAATATTTCTGATGTTCGCTGGGAGGACTTTGAACAACCGCGGACCTCTGATGTTTATACAGTGTTCTCTGATTGTGCCTATGGCACCTCTGCTCTTCACTGGTTCTATTCTGCATTTTCTTCCATGTCGTTCACTCCAGGACGTTGTTATTTTACTGTGCAGATTTGGTACTTGGCCCTCCAGTATCTTCCACGTGTATATTATTTAGTATCTCTCTCGTCTCCTTTCTAGTGAGTACATTTGGAGAGCTTTGAGACGATCCCAATAATTTAGGTGTTTTATCGCGTCTATGCGTGCCGTATATGTTCTCTGTATTCCCTCTATTTCAGCAATCTCTCCTGCTCTGAAGGGGGAAGTGAGTACTGAGCAGTACTCAAGACGGGACAACACAAGTGACTTGAAGAGTACAACCATTGTGATGGGATCTCTGGACTTGAAAGTTCTCGTAATCCATCCGATCATTTTTCTGGCTGACGCCATATTTGCTTGGTTATGCTCCCTAAACGTTAGATCGTCGGACATCATTATTCCCAAATCCTTGACGTGCTGTTTTCCTACTATGGGCAGATTTGATTGTGTTTTGTACTCTGTATTATGTTTAACGTCCTCATTTTTGCCGTACCTGAGTACCTGGAATTTATCACTGTTAAACATCATGTTATTTTATGCTGCCCAATCGAAAACTTTGTTAATATCTGCTTGTAATTTTTCAATGTCTTCAGCAGAGGTAATTTTCATGCTGATTTTTGTGTCATCTGCAAAGGATGATACGAAGCTGTGACTTGTATTTACAAGGACTGTATCTTGAGGTACAGAGCTTTTAACTGCGCTTGGACTCGATTTTATATGGTCGACTGTTATCAGTCGACCATTTTGTCAAACAGGACTCGCTGAGTCCTGTTTGACAAAAAACTGAGTATCCAGCGTCCTACTTTACCGGTTATTCCCACTGACTTCATTTTGTGTGCTATCACTCCATGGTCACATTTGTCGAAAGCCTTTGCGAAGTCCGTGTAAATCACATCAGCATTCTGTTTTTCTTCTAATGCCTCAGTGACTTTGTCGTAGTGCTCAAGTAGCTGTGAGAGGCATGATCTTCCCGCTCTAAATCCATGTTGGCCTGGGTTGTGAAGGTCATTGGTCTCCATGAAATTGGTGACCTGACTCCTGATCACTCTCTCAAATACTTTTATTATGTGGGATGTTAGTGCAACTGGTCTATAATTCTTTGCCAATGCTTTGCTCACTCCTTTGTGTAAAGGGGCTATGTCTGCTGATTTAAGCACATCTGGTATCTTCCCTGTGTCCACGCGCTTCCTCCACACTATACTAAGTGCCTGTGCTACTGGCACCTTGCATTTCTTTATAAAAATTGAATCCATGAGTCTGGACCCGGGGCTGAGTGCATGGGCATGTTTTCAATTTCTCTTTCAAAGTCTAGTGCGCTCGTGTTTATATCAGTTATATTTACAGGGGTTTGAATATCCCGCATAAAGAAATTGTCTGGATCTTCCACCTTCATGTTGTTTATTGGAGTGCTAAACATGTCCTCATACTGCTTTTTTAGGATTTCACTAATTTCTTTGTCATCCTCCGTGTATGAACCTTCACTTGTACGAATAGGTCCAATACTGGCAGTGGTTTTTGCTTTTGATTTCGCATATGAGAAGAAATATTTTGGATTTTTCTTTATTTCCTGAATTGCTTTCTGTTCTAGTTGCCTTTCTTCAATTTGATATGAGTGTTTCAATTTCCGCTCGATTTCTTCAATCTCCCTATTTAAATTATTCCTTCTTTGACGGGAAATTCGTGTCTGCATAAGCATTTCCGTTATTTTTTCCTGCGTTTATAGTGTCGTCTGCGTTCTCTTTCTATATTGGATCTCTTTCTGGCTTTCCTCAAAGGAACATGTTTCAGACAGACTTGATACGCTTCCGAAGTCAGTTTTTCTATTCCTTCTGTAGGACTTGTATTACTTAGAACAGTTCCCCATGGAATGTTTGTAAGTTCCCTGTTTATTATCTCCCAGTCTATCCTTTTATTATTAAAATTGAATTTACTGAATAGCCCCTCTCGCTTTATCAACGTTTTAGGTCTATTCTGAGTATTGATGGTCGTTTGCACTTCAATGAGCTTGTGATCTGAGTATGTGGTATCTGATATCGTAATGTCTCTGATAATGTCTTCATTGTTCGTAAAGACCAGATCTAGAATATTTTCATTTCTCGTTGGCTCCGATATCTGCTGATTGAGTGAAAATTTGTCACAGAATCTAAGTAGTTCTCTAATCTGTGGTTGGTTAGGTCCCGATAGATTTCCTGGTATAATATTATTGTTTGCTATTCTCCACCTGAGACTAGGCAAGTTGAAGTCACCTAGGAAGATAATATCAGGTATCGGGTTCTCCAAATTATCAAGGCTATTCTCTATTTTGTTTATCTGTTCTGTGAATTCCTCAGCTAATATACAAACATCTGGCAGTTTGTATATTAGAATAATCACTAAATTTATTTTCTCTATTTTTACTCCCAGTACCTCTACCACCTCATTTGTAACGTTAAGGAGCTCCGAGCATACAAGGTCTTCCCTAATATACAGACCCACTCCTCCATATGACCTAACTCTCCTATCACACCTGTATAGGTTATATCCTGGAATCCAGATCTCACTGTCTAAGAATTCCCCTGCATGGGTTTCTGTGAAAGCTCCAAATACTGCATTTGACTCCGTGAGGAGGCCATTTATGAACTGTACTTTGTTGTTTGTTCTTGTTTTCAGTCCTTGTATGTTGGCAAAGATGAATGAGGTTACTCTATTAGTGATAGTTTGACTGGGAGACTTTTTCGGCAAGCCCATTATGCGTGGACATAATGAGTTTGTTCTGACCAGTGCTGATTGTTGTAGGGCAGTTGTCTGTCGTAGTTGTAGTTCCCTTTCGGTGTGTAATTGTATCTGTAATTCTGGAATGCAAGTGGATCTGGCATCCAGTTCCATACATTCTCCATGCTCCTCCTTTTGAATTCTCTTTCGGTTTGGTATAAAAAATTTATAGAGTTTCCTCCAAATTCATTATCCTGCTTGCCACTCTTTATGTAGCGTTCCGTGCCTTTCACGTGAAAGTGTGGGCAGCTGAGGTCATAGCATTTTCTGTCCTCCAGTGAGGTTTGGCACATGTCAGGATGGAAAAACCTACATATTGATCCAAATCGACACTCACCTTTCCTAAGCATATTTAAACATTTTTGGGGATGTTGGTAACTGCATTCTAATCCTTTATTACCAGCATATCTATGTCTGCATATGCCCTTTGCATAAAATTTGCATAAGTCTGTCCTTCTGGTCTGACTCGCTCTATCGGGAACCGTCGTGGTGTCTGTACCTATCGAGCTGTCAGTGCTGTCTGGTACACTTTCTAGTTTACTGTCATCTACATCCTGGCCTACTGAGTCAGAGTTTACAACTTCCTGAGTTTCAGCCTCAGTTTCATCCCTGACTATAGCCTCCGCCCCTTGTATATTAGAATTGTTGTTGTTCCTTTCCCACTCCTTCTGGATGGCTGGTAGGCTTCCAATGAATGATGTTTTCCGATCATGCGTCATGTTATCTAGAAGGTTTTTTAGGATATTCCAAGCTGGCAGGTCATGTTTACACACCCAGAGCAAGTGGCCAACTCTCAGTGCCGTAGTGTTACTCACTCCTGTACAAGCCGAATGGAATCTAGTCTTACAGATATAACATTCAATTCCCGTTACCTTCGTCTTTAAGGAGTTGTTACAGTGGCCGCAAATTAGTTTATTTACTCCCATTTTGCCTTGTTTTGTTGTATATATCTAGGCTTATATATATATATATATATATATATATATATATATATATATATATATATATATATATATATATATATATATATATATATATATATATATATATATATATATATATATATATATATATATATATATATATATAAGCTTCAGCTGTCAGTTGAGCTATTCCCTGTGTGGGAGTTTTGTCGCTTAAGACCGTCTCCCATTGAATGGTTGCAAGGTCTACATTTATTTTTTCCCAGTCAATCCTCTTATTGTTGAAATTGAATTGATTGAATATTCCTTCTCGCTTGTTGGGTCTCTTAGACCTACTACCGTTATTTATGCTAGTTCGCACTTCAATGAGCTTATGGTCTGAGTATGAAGTATCTGAGATTGTGATATCCCTGATTAGTTCATCATTGTTTGTGAATAACAAGTCTAATGTGTTTTCGTTCCTAGTTGGTTCTGTAATCTGTTGATTGAGCGAGAATTTGTCACAGAATCTCAAAAGTTCTCTGACCTGTGGTTGGTTATTTCCCGGGTCATTCCCTGCTATGATATTTGTGTGACACAGAGTGCATGGGGGAGGTTGATGACACAGCCAGAGTGCATGGGGGGGGGGTTATGACACAGCCAGAGTGCATGGGGAGGTTGATGACACAGCCAGAGTGCATGGGGAGGTTGATGACACAGCCAGAGTGCATGGGGGGGGGTTGATGACACAGCCAGAGTGCATGGGGGGATGATGACACAGCCAGAGTGCATGGGGAGGTTGATGACACAGCCAGAGTGCATGGGGGGG